TTTTCTCTATTCAGTCACTACAACATTCCAAATTATTAAGTGGAAATAAATCATTTCCTTGCTTAATTCTGCATAACACTCCAGAAGTTAATGAGAACAACCACAGATAATTTTCTTAACCCAAAATAAAAGTCTGTACCACATGACACACACAAAACAATGACCCCAGCCAAGAACATTCCTGAACTGAAAATTCTGTACCAAGAAAGTCAATTAATAATGAGAAAATGACTTCCCTAATCCATTCGTTTCCCATTTCTGTGGCTGTCTGGTGATACTGCAATTGCATCATTACATTAGTCTCCATTATTCTGTTCCTGATGCAGGTTTGGTGGGGGAAAAGGGAAGGGGGAGGGGGGAAGGCAGAGTTCCTAGCTTGAGCTATGGAGTTTCATGCTTTTTGAGATGCTATGAGTCAACAGCAGCTCTGGAGAGAGAGAGAGAGAGACAGACAGAGTGAGAGTGAGAAAGAGACAGAGAGAGAGAGTGAGCCAAACTGGACAAAACCTGGAGCAATAATGAAGACCAATTATAAGTACAAATATCAACTGGAACATTATATTCTACTGCACATTTGTGTCTCCTGACCAGGGATGTCTATAGCAAATGACCCATTTCCATGCCTGTAGGAAAGGACCTAATTTCCATAACTACAATAAGTGATCCATTCCATGACTAAAAGCAACTGCCAATGTTCATGACTTCTTGATAGGGATTCAAACCTATAACCAGAGGGCTGGCAGGCAAGTGTGGTAGGCACTAAGCTACTGTGACACCCCCACCCCCCAAGATGTCTAGGCATGTGCATAAATTCAATTTGCATATATGTTTGCAGGTTGCAGATGTAAATAACAGTAGGATACCCCCACAACAAATAAGTGCACAGACTGGCCGATAAGTAAATGTCAGCAGTACATCTAGCCCATGTGTCTGATAACAAAAACAATACAAGGTATCAAATAGCACCTGTGATAATTTTGACTGGCTTTCTGATAGTCTTTCGCAGAGAATTCTCACTAGTAATGGTGGAGTGGCTTAGTTGGTTGTCAGCCCTCTGGAAGGCTGATATTCAACTATTAATCAATTAGTTCCCTTCCTAATTGCCTTTTCTTCCCTGATAAGTGCATGAAAATTGAAAAAATATATCCTTCTTCGTCATTGTTCACCTTTAAAAGAGCGGTTGGCATATCATGTTGTGGTTTACAGCTAAGCTGCAATATCTGTGCCTTTTAGCCCAATACATCAGATTTCAGCAAACTCCTAGTAAGTTGCATTTTACGACCTGCTTGTTTTTTAGGGAGCTGTGAGTCTATAATTTGCTCCCCTGGAAATGGGGACCTAGAACCCACACAGGGAGAATCATATACCCATTTTATGTGATTGGCTGTAACAGGGAGAAAAAACAATGGTCACTCCCAAGGACTGAATTCTGATCAATGACTTTGTAAGCAACCATCATTCTCATTCTTCACATTCACGGGCTGTAAATTTTGATGGAAATTTCTGAGTGTTCATCCACTTCTGGACTTTAGCCTTGTTCCAGAACCTGAGTGTTGCATGCACATTCATTTCATGGATCTGTATCACAGGTTTATTTGTATGCAGACTCTTGGTCCCTTGCCTCCAGGCAGATGCTGACTTTAAAGGATGCTCTTAATTAGTTGACTTTTACAACATGCTTTTAGTCATGGCAAATGTTTTGCTTCCAACAGAGGTGGCCACTGTATTTTCCTCCATTTGTAGACTGAAAGGATATAGCTGTGTCACCCAGCTACTGAACTGAATGCATTAAGTGATATTGTGAGCTGCAGATTTCATTTGGAATGTTTCTTTACTGTGACTAACGTGGTGTTGTGAACTGTACATTCAGAAAATGGTGTGTGGTTTGTTGCGGCAGAATATGGGGTGCCAAATGTGATTTAAATGATCACGTGTGCAACTGCTGATCTGTTTGTAATTTCTGCTACATCAATGATGAGCTGCATGTCAGACTGTTTGCGTTAGCACTTCTGATAGCTGCCTTATGCTTTTAATGCGTGTGCAGGCTGGTCGATATGCAGAGACTGCAGTCTGTGTCAATTTTTCTAACAAGGGACAGTTATGGACTTTCCGTGCGTTGTTCGTTGGGAGGGGAACGGAGCAACTTTGGGGTGACCTGTTTGCTATGAAGCCACAACTAAGATTACAGGATTTTACGACAAGCTTGTTGGGGAGGCATTGGTTCTATTCTTGTTCCTCCCCACAATAGAGCAGTGGACTCTCATGGGAAAACCATCATTCAATATTGAGTCTGATATTTTCCTCTTTGATCTTCCATAACTTCAACGTTTGCTGAACTAAATTTTCCTGCATGTTTACATAACTGTACAGAGCTGTATACTGTTGTTATGTGGGTGTCATTATCAAAGTAAACCAGGACCCTCTTTCTCTCCAGTGGCCATTGGGCATATGATGCAAGACATAATTTCATAGACCAATCAGCACCCAATGGGTGATGTCAACATCAAGTCTGCCACCTTTATTTCCTGGAACATTTCCTGGTACCCACTGGAAGCCAAGATCAATCATTTAAAAGTCCGTCTCAGTACAGATTCGAACTTGAAACCTTCAAACTAAAAGGCAAGAGCAACCGTTTTGACATGGCACCCAAATCATGATGCGGCTGTTTAAAAAAAAAAAAAAACACGACAACAGACAAATGACTAAATAGGATTTTGTTTGTGGCAGTACATAATACCTGCAACTTTGTTTCAATTTAAAGGATGATTTTTTTTTTCAGTGCTAGTGTAACAGATACCATGTGGTCAGTACCGGTACCATTTTAAAGATACTTTGCTGTTCTTCTAAAAAACAAAAGAACAGCCCTGGATCATATGAAAATATCTGAATGAGCAAGTCATATATGGGGTAGGTGAAGTATAAGTTGTTCAACATACAGTATGAAAGTGTTAGAATCACTAACTAATCATATAAAGATGGCTGTTTGTACATTTAGAAAGTGTTAGATTAAATCATTAACTAGCCATTCAAAGATGTACGTTGGCTGTTTACTTTGCACATTATGGAAGTGACATAAATCACCAACCAGTCAATCACAGTTGCATGTTGGGTGTTCAACTTGTAAAGTGTTAGAATAAATTATAACCTGGCCACTCAAAGATGTCAGCTGGTTGTCTAAACTGTAAATTATGAAAGTTTTTAGCATAAACCATGAACTAGTAATATAAAGATGTATGTTAGTTGTTCAATCAGTATGTTACGAAGGTGATAAAGTAAACACGAACTAGTTGCACCAAAAAAAAATAAAAATACCAATATCTGTTCAACTAGTTCTAAAAGGAATGTTTGTTGTTTATTTAACTTACATAATGTTATTTTTAAAATGCCATTATTAAAAGTGAACTAGTGCAAAAAAGGTATATCTGTTGTTTCACCCACATAATGTTGTCATTAGAGTATCATATTTGACTAAATCATAAACAGTTATCTGGTAGCAAGAACAAACTTTTTTTTTAAACGATTAGGAATTAGGATCGCATGCCATATCACAATCTCCCCTACCACTCATTTATTACACATTAAATACACATTATTTAACATTGTGCAGAGAAGGAAAGAGAGAGAGAGAGAGAAACACATAAATAACTTGAAAATTTATTTATAAATCAACATCTCATTGTGAATTTAAAAGATGAATGGAATATTCTGGGCGAAAATATGTATTAATATCGTATATATTTATTAAATATATATGATATATTGTGTACATTTATACGAAACATATTTAATAAAACTTTATTTAAAAAGATGTGCAAAATATACAATGTAAAAAAAATGACAATACTGGATGACTTTTAGACTGTAAGACACGCAGCTCTGCAAACAGCCGCGAGCCCTGCACAAAGTTTTATTTGATTGCTGTCAAAGATTGCTGGGAAAAATAAACATACACTGTTGACTGGTCAGTAAATAGCCCCAAAAAGAATGCCCCTGATAACAACCAAGACATACAAATGAGTGAAAAACTGACTTATAATTCAACAAGTGATATACATCATGTTCTTGGTAGAATATCAACCATGCTGACCTGCTTAGATTGTCATTGATAGCATTTCTTGTACCCAGTAGTGAAGAGGTGAAGTTCTGTGTGTGCTTCACTGTTGACAGTGCCTAGATTTAACTCTTTCAGTCACAGTACATTTTACAGCAGATGTGCAGCTGTGTGTGTATATAGATAAATGAGTGTGTATATTGATAACATGTGTGCACCTTTGGGTGTGGGGAAGGGGGTGAATATGTGCTTGTGTTTACTGTAGATACTCATCTAACTAAAGAATCTGCAATGTGTAATCTCAACCTAAGGCATTTGTGGAAGGCAAGAGGAAACCACCACATTAATTTCCTAAGAATAAGTTCGTAGGCGGTAACAAAGCCAGAAATACAGTGAAGTGACATTTTCATTAATTCATTGCCATGTTGTGCCATTATAAGTCACACAGGACTCACAGTCTATTCCTCCAATTCATTCTATCCTGTGCTCACTTCAATATCAGGAATGGAATCCAGCTTAGTACCTTTAGCTTCTCTTATCAACGTCCATTATAGGGTTTCTCTTAAACGCCCTTGTTTTGTCAATCCTTCTACTTCCTTTTACTGCCTGTTTGGTGGTTCTCTGCTCGTTTCTTCTCAGGAGGTGTCCAATGTGGCGCCATCTTCTCTGTCTTACAACCTTTGATACTGGTCATTGTAGACACATTTCTCTATTTCTTCACCCCTCTTAAATTCATTCCATTTTATGTTCATTTTTTTCCTCAGGCGTTTGTTTTCGATTGCACTTAACTTTTATTCACTGTCTTTAGCAAAGTGATATGCTAAAAAATATATATCGATCTTCAGCCTGAAAAACTTTAGAGCTTCATAAAACTTCTATTTTTTTGTGTTTTGTGGAAGAAAAGATGACAATAAATATCACCTGAAATCATTGCATATCACCATGACAACTAAAATGTTTCATCAACTCTTTCTCGGATGAGCTTCCAGATTCCCTCGCTAAGATCCTGAGATAGCTGAGATACCAAAGGCTGGAGTAAATCTTTCGTCGCTGTAAGAATGGCACCTCTATTGCCCTGAATTGCTTCTTCAGGTCTGCCGTTGACTGTGGATGAAGATGTTTTGCAGCCGTCAAGAGATGCTCCATCTAATGGTGGAGCCTGGAATGTTTCAGTCTGAGAACTCTGAGGCACCGATGATGGCTGCAGCTGTAATGAAAGACCACCAGGGTTTTTCTGAGATGGACCAGGCGTCCTACTGGCCAAGTCTGTGATGACATCTTTAGCTTCATGAAACACTTGTCCCATCATGGCCAGGATTTCTTGTGAATGTTCGTCTGTTCTGCCATCCACCTAAAAAGACAATAAGTTTCTGTGAATTAGAACAGATTAAACCAGAGTATATCATGAAGAGAAGTGACCGCCCACATCACAAGGAGAAAGTCTACATTCTTTAGTCACATCATGAGAAGGAGAAAACTGTTTATCATGACAGTGTGAAAGTTGGAGGGGAAAAGAGACAGAGGGAGATCCAGAAAGAAGTTGCTGGACAGTTTGACATCACGGCATGGAAGACCATCTGTGTCAGAGAGGTACACGAGACAGAAGACTGTGAACAGATATGACTACCAATGCCACACAGCATGGATTACAAGAAGAGACCAGACCACAGTATGCTTAAGGTACAGTGAAACCCTACCGCACCCTAATAGATATGACTACCAATGCCACACAGCATGGATTACAAGAAGAGACCAGACCACAGTATGCTTAAGGTATAGTGAAACCCTACCGCACCCTAATATATATGACTACCAATGCCACACAGCATGGATTACAAGAAGAGACCAGACCACAGTATGCTTAAGGTACAGTGAAACTGTTCCCTACCATACCCTAATAGATATGGTGTAAGAGGCAGCTAAGCGTAGGCTTTGGGCTGAAGGTTGGCTATCGCATCCCATAAGACTCTCAGGTGCTTCATCTTACCTTAATAAGGGGAAATCCACAGGTCTTGGGACAGTCTAATATTTCAGGGGGTGGTAAATAGGTTGCATGCAGTCGTGGGACCTAGGCTGCACTCTCTCATGGGACGTAGGTGGGTTGGGATTTGGGCCAGTTCTAGATGATTCTTTGGTCATTAAAAGCATCAGAAAGCTGGGAAACCCAGTCTTACCACCCTCTGAAATGTTGGACTGTCCTGTGACGTCTTCTGGGGTAGGATATTAATAAAAAACCGACACTCATCTTCATTAAGATGCAGGTCCTTTGCAGAAGGTGGCTCTCACCACAGTTTGCCTAAAATAAACTCCTCTCACCAGTCCTTTGCACTTTCCTACCCAAGCTGTCACTTTTGTCCTGTACCCATCTTTGTGCTGGTCAGCCCCTGCCCTTCATTCCTGGTACATAAGACACTATAAACACAAAAACCAACCATGAACAAAAACAAGATAACATAATTTTATTGCACTGAAATCCACGGGGTAAAAGAAATTTAAAAAGAAAAAAAAAAAGAGAGAGAAAAATTATATTCCTCACTTGGTGGTTTTTTTGATTTTGAAAGTAAAGACGGTCACAATGCTAGGCTGAAGGAGTGTAAACTGACATTAGATTTGAAAAAAAAAAAAAAAAAATTCATTTAAAAGAAAAATGTGCCATGTCTACAATGAAGCTTGGCTGCAGTGAACCAATGTTGACTTTGGGAATATTATGCAAGGAGGCCTTAATCTTTTCCAAGGTGTGTCTCTCGTACCATTGTCAGAAAACCACACAAATGATTTATTTTTTTTTTTAAACCTTCCTTCACAAGGAATGAACCCCAGCACTTGAGAGATCATGAGATGGTTAATCCCATTTGCTAATCTCCAAGGTACCATCAGTCTGCATATAAATAAGCCAGATCTGTAAAATGGATGTGCATGCTCAACTCAAGTTCTGGACCAAGACCAAAGTCCAGAAGTGGGCGAACAACCATAACTTTTCACCAGAGTTTACATCTAGTGAAAGCAAAGAAGAAGAAGAAAAGACTTAAACGCCAGCAAACTTGTCTTAAACTAAAGCAATATGTACTTAGCACTTTCTGAGACACATTTCACTTCACTTTGCGGTCCACTATTTATATATGTACACACATCAACTACGTCGCTTGGGGCCATTAGATAAAGCTATCACACAGTAGTACATTATATGTTGACAACTGACTTACTTGTGTAAAGAGATCTTTCACAGACTCTAACTGCGATCGAAAGTTGTTCAGTGCAAGCTGGCAACTACTCACAGATACTGAAATGATGGGAATCAAGAAAACAATAGTCACCAAGTAAAAATGACTATTAAGCTTCATCTAATTTAGACAGTAATCAAACAACTTGAAATTATACAAGTCTACAATCATTAAATTAAAAAAAAAAAGTATTATTCTGGTATCAATGAAGGCGCATGACCGGAAGATTATTTTACCAGGCTGAGGATTAAAAACTACTTGTCATACGTCATCATGCAGTGTTCAAGCTAGGATTTGTATTTCATTGTTCATCTTCTCTTTTTAATACCCTTATACTGTAATAGGCTTGAACCAACTCATGACCTGACCACATGTTAGATGGACCTGCGTGCCTAATTCTTAACCCTTTGAAAATAAAGTTGGTTCATTCTTCAGGCTCGCTGATTTAATGAATATCATTATTTGTTATGTAGTTGATGTTTTTTTTTTATTTTTTATTATTCTTGCTTTTCCATGAGGGTTTTTAGGCCCAATATTCTATATACATTGTCTGCATTTATTAAAAGTAAATACCCAACTGATTTAAAGAATGAAATCAAAACATTTATTCTCCCTGTGTGGGTTCCGGGGCCCCTTTGTGGGGGGAAAGAATAGACCCACTGCCTCCCTAACAAGCATGTCATAACAGATGACTAATTTAGCGGTGTTTAGAAGTCATAGTGCATTAGCTTGAGAGGTGAAAGAACCAACAGTCTGCATAAAAATAATCAAAATCTGTAAAACGGATTTGCACACGAACTGAAGTTCTGAAACAATACCAAAGTCTAGAAGTTGACGAACAACCAAAACTTTCAACCAAAAAGATTACTCCTGCTTATGTGCAAGCTTAGCGACTGGTATGACTTGTATTAAACCAGTTTATTGTATGTACTTGTTTTACTGTATTTTGTTACCTCATTTGATGTACCAGTAAGTCAATATTCTCTACCTATTGTCTGCATTCATTAAAATAAATACCTAACTGATTTACCAAATGAAAACGAAATGTTTGACATGCCATTAAGTGAAACTCAAATAGAACCAGCAGGTGCTAGTGTAGGCAGTAAAACAAACAACACTAGCAACTGTGTTCCAGAATGTGGGAAGAATGACTAGTGGCAAGGAAACTCACTTCTCATGATCAGAATACTTGCCATCAGTGCTCAATATGTGGCCCGGAAAGGGGGCGGAGGTGTTGGTAAGTCATTTCTCTAACATATTTCCCTCATATTCTGAAGACTATTAGTTTAATTAGGGTTTTTGCTGTTTATTTCATGAGCGCAGGTGTAATTTGGTATAGTGTGCAATGGTCTCACAGGGTGACCAGCCAAGAGAGAGAGAGAGAGAGAGAGAGAGAGAGAGAGAGAGAGAGAGAGAGAGAGTGAGAGAGAGGGGGGGGGGGGGGGAGAGAGACACACACACAGAGAGAGAGAGAGACAGACAGACAGAGAGAGAGAGAGAGAGAGAGAGAGAGAGAGAGAGAGCGAGAGGTGAGAGAGAAGAGAGAGAGAGAGAGAGAGGACAGAACATACAGCAACAAAAGACAGAGAGAATCGAGTGAAAATGAAGTCATTCTTCAGCCACACTCCAGGATGAAGTGGTCGAGCCATCTGCCTCAGGCTCTGAAGTCAGGGGTTCAATTTCATAGCTGCATCGTTCGGTTCACTAGAACAATTTTTACAATCCCCCAAGGAACATTGGCAGAGCTACAGAGTTTATGCCTTGTGTGACACTCTCGGCAGGCAGCTAACTGTTCTGTGAAGAGAGACTTAGTCATATCGAAAGAAACCCGGTGCAATGAAGTCAATCCTACCACCATTAACTTTTTTTTTTAAGATTGAGCCATATAGAAAAAAAAATTGGTGAAATTAAATCAATCCTCTGGTCTTTAAAAAACAAAACTATCTCCAAGTTGTTGCCAACCCCGCAGCACAACTGTTAAGTACAGCAACATAACTTTTGTCAGTGCAGTAATTCAGGCATGTCAAACATGCAGCCATTGGGCTGTTTGCAGCCCTTTGCAAGCAATGTTTATTAAATGACTTCAATTAGCTGTTGAGGAGAGGCTGGCCGAACGGTTAGAATGATGGGCTCTCAAGCTGGAGACCCGTGTTCAAATCCTTGGTAAGGCTGGGGATTTTTTTCTGTCAGGGGCAAAATTAAATCCTCACCTGCAGTCACGGTGAGTGGCGCGGTGATTTATGTCACAGGCGTGAGGGGAAGTTAAGTCCAACATGATGTGTATAAGGAGATACTCCGTACGTCACTCGGGCGCTAGTCCTTCACTGTTCTGGTTTTACGGAACCTCACGCAAGACCCCTGCAGCACGTCCTCGTTGTGCGCCACGGATAATGTCTCAAACGAGCATTAACAGAGCTGTCAGGGGATCTCGGAGTTTAGCGGCCCCGAGAGGTGATGTGTCCTTGTGGCTCTCATCAGCCTGCCCCCAAACACTTGGGTGAAAAAGGTTATCAAAACTCATTAGGAACATGAGTATGCTTGCCAAACGTACAGCTAAAAATCACAACCCTTGGTTAAAAGAATGTGAAGAGAACATTGTTCACTGTACATCCTCTGTTAACCCCCAGTGTTGTCGTCACTGCGCTGAGGTACACCACAACAGCAACCATCCATAGGCTGGCCATCCATGTTCATCCTCGTTTAACCCTCAGTGTCGTCGTCACCGCACCGAGGTACACCACAACAGCAACCATCCATAGGATGGCCATCCATGTACATCCTCGGTTAACCCTCAGTGTCGTCGTCACCGCGCCGAGGTACACCACAACAGCAACCATCCAGAGGATGGCCATCCATGTACATCCTCGTGTAACCCTAAGTGTCGTTGTCACCACGCTGAGGTACACCAAAACAGCCCATTGGCTGGCTAAGCCTAAATGTCCGACAAAACTAGATCCAAGGCACACGAGTGAGCTCAAAATATGACCTCCACAATTTGTACTGAACGTAAAAAAGACCAAATGTCCACACCCAAAGACCCCACTCGCCCGAGTGTTGGGACCAAACTGATAACGCTATGCTTGACGCAGGATGTAAAATTCTGTCAGGCTAACAGCTCGTCAAAGAAATCTAATGTGCGAAGAAAAAAGAATGTGCCTATTCGTGTGGTCACAAAAGTCCAAAATCCACAGGCTGCTCCCCGCTGACTTCCAGAGGGCGCAGCTCTTGTCGAGCGGGAAGCCTGATACGGTTGTGAGGTTAAGCAGGCATGTGCAGCCCTGACGATTCCTTGGGTGAGCCCAGAACCAGAGCGCCATGTGCCGGCTCTGCATACATGGAAGCCTCCTTGGATGGCGGGGAATGCCCATGATCTGCCCCTGCCTTCCCTTGAGGGCCAACTGTTCCACATGGGGCTGCCCCAAAGGGGTACTCCGGGGGCAATACCTGTGGAGAAGGAGACAAAGTGGACTCCACACAAATCAGGCAACGTCTTGATCCACACAAAACAATGGCCACAGTCAACCTAGAAATAGGCCTGACGTCTTCCTTCGAAGTCGGAGTACAGTTGCCCATGAGGCAGGGAACATTAAAACGGTTGTACACGCAAAAATCAGGTCCGGTTGAAAGCCAAAAGTCCAAGCGGACGACTAACCGTGACCTTTCGCCGGAATTCACAGCCGGTGAACGGAAAAAAAACAAAAAAGTCACGGTGACAGTTACTAGCCAGGGGCCGTAAATCCTCAGGCTCAAAGGCCCCCCCCCCCTCCCCGCTGCCTACACCGCAAAAGAGGTATCACAAAGGCAGTTATTGGCAGTTAGCTGTCACCTGTGGCCCTCATGACAACACAAATGACATGACCCATATAGCCCTATGGGGACCCTCAGTTTGACACACCTGTAGTAATTCACCACCTTTAAAAAAAATGTTAAGTATAATATTCTGTCACCTTACACTTACCAGGATGACACGATGATGATGATGATGAAGATGATGCCAGCTGCAGAACCAGTCTAGATTTATCAGCTTGAGGTACACCTGGGGTAGTGGTAGTCCTGAAAGACAAGTATTAGGTAAAAGGCACTGCAAGGAAAAAGCATTTCTTTAATGCAAAATATTAAATATAAAAGCACTGCAATGGAAATGCATGCATTGAATACACGGTTGCAGTACATTACTTTCACCCCATGAACACTTTTTAAAAAAAGGGCGGGGGAGGGGGGGGGGCAATGGGACCCCCCAAAAAAAAATCTTTAAAAAAATCACTTATACAGTGGCAGCTAAACAATTGTCACAACAGGGATGAAATGCCTTAGAAGAGCTGCAGGAGTTTCAAGGAAAGACAGAATACAAAATCATGAAATCAGATGAATGCTAGGAATAAAGCCAGTCTTACAGGTCATCAAAGAATAACAAATTAAGTGGTTTAGACACCTAACAAGAATGCCCTGGTACTATCTGCCACAGCGAGCCACACTAAAACGTTACAACGGGTATAGAGCGAGTGGAAGACCTCAGAAAGAATGGAGTGATGGCATTAAGAAAAGCCTTACAGAAATGAACATTGGTCTTAATAATGCTCTTGACAGAGCTCATCAACGAACATTACATCTTCCCCCGACACTTCGATGAGATACAAGGTGGAAGAGAAAAAGAAGAAGAAGCTAAACGATTTTTTAATTTATTAACAATAAACTATCTAATTTTTTTTTTTACATTTTTGAAATATGTGAAAAGTGTAATCAGTAAACAAAAACAGAATGAACATTAAATATCACGCATTCCCTGGGTCTAGAACAAATATATATCCAGTGACTCATGTCATGACCCCATGACTTCCATCACTGAGGCTTACAGGTAAATTTTAAGTAAATCTGGTTGAAAAAAAAAAAATTTAGTGATTTTACAAGGAAACACCTGTAAATGCTATGTTCCTAAACACTATGCACAAAGAACCAATTGCATTTAAACAGGTCACTGCAGAAACGGTGACACATTAAAATTTATGGCGCTGTGTCACAATCGGAAGTGACCAGATTTAGCCTTCTTGGGACGACAGAGTTAATCTATATTTGCTTGCCAATTACAGCAAAAGCTGAACAGCCAAACTCACAAAAATGTTCCTTGTATAAATGGAAGAGGGGAGTCGCCGTGGCAGAGCGGCTAGATGCGCGCCGCGGATCGGAAGGTCGTGGGTTCGCTCCCTGGCGGAGCCGGACTTTTCTTCAAAAATTGCCCTGGCTCCCAGGTCGACCCAGCCTTGAGTGGGTACCGGGTGCAGTCCCGGTAAGTAGAGGCGGCTGGCAAGATGCTGACCACATCACCCAACTTGTGTCGATGGTCTATAAAAATATAGGTCTAGCCCTATATGCCTAAAGGTATGGAAAGGGTCCTTTACTTTTTTACTTTTTATAAATGGAAGAAAAGCATTCAGAGCTCCTTCTACAGCATTTGAGTAGAAATCATTACATGTATCACTAAATTTCAAAAGTGTCTTTACTGATTATTAACCCTTTGGAAACGACACGGCCGAAATATTGGCCCAACACAAAGTAGCCAAAAGGATGACTGGGCCGATCGGTCTGCCCTATATAATAGAAGCTTTGATACTGGCTGGCAGGTTTTCATACCAGCCAATCAGACTGCTTCTCACATTTCTTGCACATGTGGGCTGTTCACTGATGGCTTTTGAGAAAGTTTGATGTTTTTCTGTAATTTTAAATCAATTTTTTTTCTGGGGTTACCTGTGCCCAAAAATGGCAAAAAGGACTGTTGCATCCTAGCAACTGAAACATAGCTGGAGGCAGGAATTGGAGTAGAACCATGTGCCAGACGTGTCTGAAGGGCCTCCAAGGGGCATACTTTCCAAAATACAGGTGTTAGGACTTATTAAAGCTTCATTCATTAAAAAAATGCACCCACATTTTTTTTTTTTTTTTACTTATGTTTGTTCCTAAGTTAAAAAAAAAAATTGCTTGCATAAATTATGGAAATTATAATAGTTAATTTGAATAAATGTTGAGATTTCAGTTTGATTTATAACAATTCTGTTAGTTCATTCAATTTCCTACACAAATATATAATTTTATGTTAATGAAACGCTCTATTTTGTATTTTTATTTTTTTCATAAATTAGGCAAATCAGAATAGTTAATTTGAATAAATGTTGAAATTTCAGTTTGATTCATAACAATTCTGTTAGTTCATTCAATTTCCTACACAAATATATAATTTTGTATATGTTAATGAAACGCTTTATTTTGTATAATTTTTTCATAAATTAGGCAAATCAGAATAGTTAATTTGAATAAATGTTGAGATTTCAGTTTGATTCATAACAATTTTGTTAGTTCATTCAATTTCCTACACAAATTTATATTGTATATGTTAATAAAACGCTTTATTATGTATAATTGTTTGTGTATAAAGGCTCCGTCTTCTTGGCAATGAAACTCCAAAAAGACTCTGTCTCCAAAGGGTTACCATTTGTTAGGGAAGATAAAGGTGGGGTACTGATCCTGAGCATTTAGGGCTGCATGACTGGTGCAATCATCATGTATTGTGCAGGTTATGATTGTATTTTTGGTTTTAAAATATGAAACTTACAAAGATCTGATTTTGGTCCCATGTGTGTATGTGATAGCCTGTCCTGCTGTATTTGTGTCCGATGACTCTGCTTGTACAACACCATCTGGCTGGCTGTTATCAGCTGGAAGGGTTGCCATGTTCGGTGAGGCTGGAAGAATGCGACGATGTAAACTGCAATTTTGCACAGGAACTTCCCTAGCAGGGTTATGAGATTGGTACTGGGCAATGCGAACTTTGACTGATGGAGAATTTTTGCTGTCTGTCTCTTGGTATTCATGAAAAACAGAATCAGAATTCTCTTCTGAAGATGACAAAATCGGATCAGCAGAAACTCGCGAAGTTAAAGTTTGTTGGAATGACTTTGAAGCAGGTAGTCCTAAATTTGGTTGCGAAGATGATACAGTTGTTGATGGTGGTTGTTGTAGTTTGGATGATAACGAATGTTTATGAGGTTGGTCTCTTTCAGGAAGATCCAGTGGACTAGCTTCAAGATCTGAAGACCGGGCACGTGAGTGTTCAGAGCTGATGATACCAACTGACTTCTGGTGACGGAGCATATTTGCTGTATTCTCTATCTCTTCCGCCACTGCCAGCTGGATGGGGTTTGTATGTGCTAATTCACTGTCAAAAACTGGGGGAGAACTAGATGATGTTAGAGCTGACAAAGAGGACTGATCTGATGACAGCGAGCCCCTCGAGTTTCTTACTGCTCGAACTGCACCAGCGGGTGAAGTGACATCTGTTGGTTTACTGCTGCCGCCAAGAACACCTGATTTTCCCAAAAGAATACTCTTTGCCTGATCCAGAGTTAATTCTGAAGTCGCAGATTTCCTACGAGCAGTTGAAGTTTTAGGTTCCTTTATATCTCGTCGGTTGAGGGCAAAGGTAATGCTTGATATAGTACGTGATGATGCCGGAACTGATTGTGGTGGTGGCATCAGCTGCTTGTCAGTAACTGGCACAGACAGTCTTGCTCTAGTCCGTCCTCCTACCAATGTCTTGTTAGATGGCTTAGTTCCTCCACCTCCTGAACTGCTGTCGGTGCTTGAGTCTGCATCTTTAACGTCAGGAACGCTTTGCGACAAGTCTGATAGCATCCGAAGATTTGAAGTAGAACTAAAATGATCAGGAGTTTGTGCTTTTTGTTTGGGTTCTTCATCGTCATCATCATCATCAAGCCCTGCTATTAAATTTGGGGTGGAAGCATAAATTGCCAGCTTGGAACCCATCATTCTTCCTTGAGGCCTGACCCTCTGATGAGCTGAACTCTGAGGCTTATCTACAACAAATGTTGCATCTGCATTGACATCGCTGCCTCTACTGATCCTATTCTTTGAACTTAAGGTGGCCTTGAAATATGTGGGCCGAGTTCTGGTCACATACTTTGGAGCAGAGCTCTCCAGGCGTGAAGATTCTGTTTGTTCTCCAGGTTTTGTAATGCTTCTCCTCTTGTCCTTCTCCTCACTGGCTTTCTGAGATACAGAACTAGCTATGGTAGATAAGCTGGTTCTTGGTGAGAAATTGTTGTGGGATTTCAGCAACTCTTTCGGACTTTTAGTGCCATTTTCTGATTCTGAAATAAAGAGAAGAAAAACATATATAAATGATATCAAGACACTTTTCTAATGATACATGAAAAATACATTACATAAAATGTGCCCATTTTGTAAAATGAATTCCACATGTGGGTTCCAGGGCCCCATTCTGGGGAAGGGGGAGGGGGGTTGGGGTAGGGAGGAACAAACCCACTACTCCATAACAAGGATGTCATACAAGGCGACTTATTAGGAATGTTTCCTTCGAAGTCAGAGTGCATCTGTCTGAGAGGCGGGGAACTAATAATCTGAAAATAAATAAGTCAGATCTGTAAAACTGATGTGCATGCAAAACTCAAGTTTTGGAATAAGAACAAAGTCCAGAACTGGACAAAGAAGAATTGTCTGCCAGAGTTTACAGCAAGTGAACAATAATGAGAAGTATAAAAAATTAAATAACTGGTAAAGAATAAGCAAATTACTTAACAATGACACTGTTACATAACGATACAACTCGCTCTGTTACCTAAATTCAGACCATAATAAGAGAATGAGTTGTTAAGAATTAGTTTCAGCAGATACCTCTTATGTGTGAAGAAACATAAATGTTTTTTTTTTTCTGACCAAAGCAAATCATCTGCTTAAATTTCACAGTCAAGAATTTGTGAAAAGGAACTCAGCCAAATGAAGATTCCATAATAATGAAGGCTGGAGTGCAAAATGGTATTTATAATATGATAATGAAAAATCAGTACAATAATCTCAGCTGTTTTGTAATAACTGTAGATGATGTTTTAAGTTACTGTTTTAAAAGTGTACTGAAAAAACAACACCACAAGCAAACACCATTACTGTTGCATGCTGTCTTCATATTTACAACAGAATAAACAATAGTCCAAATAAATAATAAGAACAACTGTTCTGTTTAATTAGCAGAAGAAGGTTAAATTAATCACTTCACATAAAACACAATAATAAACCTTTATCAGGTTACAGTATTTCAAACGGCTGACACAGTACAAACCAAACTCACACACTAGCCATGGTACACATAGGAAAACAAATAATTTAAGAGCACATCAGAGAAGAAACATGCCTGGGATGACATAGACAAAGTAATTATTCGAAGCGAGAAACTCAAATATCAGAATTAAACACTCTTTCACCTGGACTGTTAGTACAAACAATAGTATAGACAGCTGTACAATTTACCACAACACAAGGCATCTATTGAAGCCTACCTCTGAAAGACTACACAAGAAAAAATAAACAACAGTACGTTCATGCAAAGGGAGCCACCATGGCATAGCAGCTAGACGCTCACCTACGAATCAGTTGGTCGTGGGTTGCGATCTAAGCGCAGGGAGACTTTTTTTCTTTAAAAAAAATGACCTTGGCTCCCTGGTTGACCCAGCCTTAAATGGGTACGAGGTAAAGTTCTAGGAAGTAAATGTGGCCGGCACAATGTTGACCACATCACCCCACAAGTGCTGATTGGTCTATACCAGTGTTTCCCAAACTTTTCTTAGTCGCAGCGCCTTTTTTGGAATAAAAAAAATTCCACGACGCACTCTAACCTAAGTAAAAGTATGACCATTCGTATGTAAGAGATATAAAAAAAAAATTAAACGTGTGTCTTCAAATATTTCACGGTGCCCCTGTGAAGAGGTCGCAGCTCCCAGGGCGCCATGGCGCACAGTTTGGGAATCACTGGTCTTTACCAATACAGGTCTATCACTAGATGCTCAATAAGCCTGAATGCAAAGAAAGGGGTCCTTTTTTTTTTAAACACTCATGCAAAAGGAATCCAATTTTGCACAACATGAAATCTCACAGAACAAAATCCTAAACAAAACAAAATGGCAGAGATGAAAATAAAGAGAATGAAACATTATGACAACAATGATGAGATGAATGAAGGGTATGGCTCCACCTGACAGTCACCTGTCACAGACAGACGACAGCAATTATGGCATGCTTGCTGGATTAAAAACACAGCTATACTCTCAAACATCTGGAAGCAAACAGCACACTGGCTCATTCCGGTGCCAAACCTAGAAAATGTTTTTACCAGTGCCACCATCTCGGTGGCAGGAGAGGGAGCGTGGACTCGATGTACGGACCTTTGCCAACTTGTTTGTCCCGCTGAATTCTGCTACATCTGTTTCTGTTTACTGGGTGTAGACTGTTAGCAGCTTTGTCTCTGGGGCTACTTGGGTGACCTTGACTATTGAGTTTACTGCTGATACTGTCTGAAGTATTATGTTTGTTGCTGACACTCTCTGAGGCATTGTGTCTGCTGCTGACACTGTCTGAGGCATTAAGTCTGTTGCTGACACTGTCCAAGGCATTGTGTCTGCTGCTGACGCTGTCCGAGGCATTGTGTCTGCTGCTGACACTGTCCGAGGTATTGTGTCTGTTGCTGACACTGTCCAAGGCATTAAGTCTGCTGCTGACACTATCCAAGGTATTGTGTCTGTTGCTGACACTGTCGGAGGCATTAGGTCTGTTGCTGACACTGTCCAAGGCATTGTGTCTGTTAGCTGTGTTAGAGCTTACTGGCACACATCCTGCAGATGCACTTTGACCAAAATGTCTTGAGCGGTTAGGTCGTGGTGATGACAATGGAGTTGGTATTCGACTCTGGTATGCAATACTAGAAGGACGGGGTGGCTGAACATTGGATCTGACAACTTGTAAACTTGAAATCATATGGCAGTTATGACTGGACATGGTCCGTGGGGCATGGGCAAAGGTCATTTCCTCTGTTATAGATTCCTGAGTCAGGGTGAAGGTTGACCACAGTCTACGTAGATGTTTGGAGCAGTAGTTCCATTGTGGAGAAACAAACGCTGTACCGGGAACATGAACCATGGAATGTTTAAAATCAATATTACTATTTAACATTCATGAGTAGGCCTATTCTTCACAAATGCTGGAGCAGTTATTTTAAATAACAATAGCTTATACATCTTTTACAAAAGATATTCAATACCTGCTATCTGTAAAATTTCTTGCGGAAAATAACTGTTACTGTTCAACTGCTTCCTAGTGTGGGTTCCGGGGCACCAGTGTGGGTTCCGGGGCACCAGTGTGGGTTACGGGGCACCAGTGTGGGTTCCGGGGCACCAGTGTGGGTTCCGGGGCACCAGTGTGGGTTCCGGGGCACCAGTGTGGGTTACGGGGCACCAGTGTGGGTTCCGGGGCACCAGTGTGGGTTCCGGGGCACCAGTGTGGGTTCCGGGGCACCAGTGTGGGTTACGGGGCACCAGTGTTGGGGAAAACTAAAAAATAGAACCACCGCCCCCCTAACAAGAATGTTGTAAAATCAAACTAATTAAGGGTGTTTCCTTCACAGTCGGTGTAACCTGCCTGAGAGACGAGGAACCAGCATACAAATAAGCTAGATCTGTCAAACAGATGTGCATGCAAAACTTAAGTTCTGGAATAAGACTAAAGTCCAAAAATGAATGAATGACTACAACTTTGCGCCACAGTGAACAACCGGTGAAAGCTAAGAAAAAGAGAGTTTAACTGCTTTTTTATCCCTTATTTGTAAATAAACATCATATGATTACTTCTTATCAAGTAGGGATGTAGAGGGTTGATGTGTACAGGTCAGCATTTATACTGACCAAGAGATCTATGTACAGGTCATCTATACTGACCAAAAGATCTATGTGCGGGTCAGCATTTATACTGACCAAGAGTTCTATCTCCACATGGGATATCCTAAGTAATCAAAGTGTCTATACACAGACACTTTTTGTACAAAAACAAAATGCTGTCAGAATTCTTTAATTTGCTCTGAGGATACACAAGATGTACATTCGTACATGAAAAGCTAATTGGTACCCACCAGGACTATCTATTCACACACACAAAAAAGCTAACAGGTATGCAGGAAGAAGAGATATTCACAAATGAAAAACTGTCTGGCATCCACACAAAAACAGCTATTCACAAATGAAAAATTGACTGTTATGCATGAAGAACAGCTATACACAAATAATATGCTGTCTGGTATCCACGAAAAACAGCTATTCATAAATAAGCTGTCTGGTATGTATGAAGAACAGCTATTCACAGATGACAAAACTGACTGGTATGTATGAGAAACAGCTATTCACAAATGAAAAAGTGACTGGTGTGCATGAAGAACAGCTATTCACAAATGATAAACTGTCTAGTATGCATGAATAACAGCTATTCCCAAATAATATGCTTTCTGGTATCCACGAAAAACAGCTATTCATAAATAATGAACTGTCTGGTGTGCATAAAGAACAGCTATTCACAAATGAAAAACTGACTGGTGTGCATGAAGAACATCTATTCACAAATGATAAACTGTCTGGTATGCATGAAGAACAGCTATTCACAAATGAGTCACTGGTATGCATGAAGAACAGCTATTCACAAATGACAAAACTGAATAGTGTGCATGAAGAACAGCTATTCACAAATGATAAACTGTCTGGTATGCATGAAGAACAGCTATTCACAAATGACAAAACTTAATAGTGTGCATAAAGTACAGCTGTTCACAGATGACAAAACTGACTGGTATGCATGAAGAAGAGCTATTCACAAATGATAAAACTGACTGGTATGCATGTAGAACAGCTATTCACAAATGATAAACTGTCTGGTATGCATGAAGAACAGCTATTCACAAATTACAAAACTGAATAGTGTGCATGAAGAACAGCCATTCACAGATGACAAAACTGAATAGTGTGCATGAAGAACAGCTATTCACAAATGACAAAACTGAATAGTGTGCATGAAGAACAGCTATTCACAAATGACAAAACTGAATAGTGTGCATGAAGAACAGCTATTCACAGATGACAAAACTGAAAAGTATGCATGAAGAACAGCTATTCACAAATGACAAAACTGAATAGTGTGCATAAAGAACAGCTATTCACAGATGACAAAACTGAATAGTGTGCATGAAGAACAGCTATTCGCAAATGACAAAACTGAATAGTGTGCATGAAGAACAGCTATTCACAGATGACAAAACTGACTGGTATGCATGAAGAACAGCTATTCACAAATGATAAATCTGAATAGTGTGCATGAAGAACAGCTATTCACAAATGACAAAATTTATTAGTGTGCATGAAGAACAGCTATTCACAAATGACAAAACTGACTGGTATGCATGAAGAACAGCTATTCACAAATGATACGCTGTCTGGTATCGACCAAAAACAGCTATTCATAAATAAAAAGCTGTCTGGTATGTATGAAGAACAGCTATTCACAAATGACAAAACTTATTAGTGTGCATGAAGAACAGCTTTTCACAAATGACAAAACTGACTGGTATACATGAAGAACAGCTATTCACAAATGATAAACTGCCTGTTATGCATGAAGAACAGCTATTCACAAATGATACGCTGTCTGGTATCCACCAAAAACAGCTATTCACAAATAATAAGCTGTCTGGTATGTATGAAGAACAGCTATTCACAAATGAAAAACTTACTGTTATGTATAACGAACAGCTATTCACAAATGAAAAACTGACTGGTATGTATGAAGAACAGCTATTCACAAATGAAAAACTGACTGGTATGTATGAAGAACAGCCAATCACATATGGTGAGCTGTTTGGTACAGAGAAGTTACATAACAGGCACCCATGATTTCTCCTGAGGAAGATAAGTTGGTTAATACGATACTTGTTACATCATCCTGAATATACAACTCAGATTTAAAAATTACAGGCCTCTTAATTAACCTCTTAGGTTCTAAATAGTAAGTACATGGATAACTTTTCTTTCTTTGTTATTAAAGATATACATGTTTAAAGGGAAAAGATTTTTTTAACTTTATTCAAGAAATCAGAAACTTGCACAGCTGATGCTTTTTTTTTAAATGGCACCTTTTCACACAACACTGTTATACTGTGCTACATAGAGGCATGGAAATATTGGCACAAAGAAATGAGACCACAATTATAACCGATACTGCTCACAACAGGTTAAACAAGGTCAATTTTCTGTTTTGTTTTTCACAACAGGATTGATGGATGGCATGGAAATCACATCCCATGGTGACAGACAGTGCAACTAGCAAGACCTGCTTGCATTAAGAAAAGCTGTCCACAATTTCTAGTGGAAAACAAAAGGCAGCAAAAACAAAATGGTGACATTTGGCTTACCCGCTGGGGGTGAAGTTGGGTATGATGATCTGGCTTGGTTCGCTTCAGGAAAACTAATGCCCTGAACAGCAAAAATAAGCACATATAAATACACACATGGTAAAACAACAGTTTAACTAAGTGACCTCAGGGCCAACACTTATTTATACATTCAATTAAATGTTTATTAATACAGAATGAACGCACATATTTTTGAGATGTTAGTTAGTTGGGTTAACATCATTGCACTCCGGACATGTCCACAAGTGCTCAGATTCTCCCCTCAGTATGAACCCCAACGTCCGGTGGCTAATAGTACCAGTTCTATGTTGATTTAACAAGTCCTCTGATGTGCCTGGTGTGTGTTGCATTTTTTGCTATGCCAATCTTAACTCGCAAGTCTATAATTCTGGTGACTGCACTAAACTCAGCAGTGTGAAACCTTCTTTCTTCTTTTATCCTACTGCTTATGCAGTAAAGAGTCGCAGAGAGGAGATAGAATGTAGTTTCCTATCTCTTGCTAGTTGTATAGCTTATGCTAACAGCAAATATGTTTCTGTAGTGTCTCTTTTTACTCCCTCCACCCATCTTTTTCTTGGCCAACCTCTTGACTTGTAGTGCGCTGTTTCCATGTGGTACAGTGTAAAATGCCGGGTAGACCCAATCTCTCAGATATTCCTACTAGGTTGAGAAGTGTTAGGCTGTGATATACTATAGGCCATGACATGTGATATGGGATGACCCGTTTCTGTCCTTATTGCCTTCCCTTTCCAAAAAATTCTGGGAAGTGGTATTCATTGTTTTGAGGCTGAGTTAACCTCAGAGCCCTATTGGTAGTAAAACATCTGACACTTCTGGGGACTGAACACAGACCAAGTGTGCTAATAACTAAGTCAGACTGGACTTTTAAACTACTTTATACTGATTGCAAAACATGGTGTGTGTTACAGACATTTTTTTTATCAAATGTATAATTTCAACAAACATATATGTATACATGCTTGCCTTGCCTTCCATTATGTTAATCAACATGTTTTACAGTCATCATCATCATCATCATCATCAAGTGCCTTGCTGACAGGCACCGGCCTCTCCACAATCTGCGATCCGCAACTGCATGTATGTGAAGGACTCCTTTTCACCCCTTCAGGCATACTGGGTATATAGGGCTAGATCTATATTTTATTGACCATACAGCACTTGGTGGGTAATGTGGTCAGCATCATGCCAGCCACCTTTACTTCCCAGGACTGTACTACCTGGTACCCAGTAAAGGCTGAATCGACCTGGGAAGCCAAGGTCATTTTTTTTGCGTGTATGAGTTTGTGTGCTGATACCCTGTCATTTCATGACAGAAGGCTGTCAGGAATCTTCTCATGTTGTCTTCCTCTGTCTCTCTTTCCACACATCTTTTCAGTGGTCACAACATGTTCCAGTTTCTCTCTTCTCATATTATGACCACAAGTGATAACTGTCTCTTTCTGATGTTTGTGATAAGTTGTCTTTGAGACCTCGCCTCTTTCAATACATCTTGGTTGCTCTATTTAGCTATCCGGGGAATTCTAAGGATTCTTCTGTAAAATCGCACAGAGGCCTAGAGAAATTGTTAGAGGGAGCGTGCCGTATGTGAAAACTGGCTCTACATACATGCGTTACATACAGTACAAATGTAATAACAACTTAAACCTAGGCTACCACATTAAGTACTATGAAATATAGCTATATCTTGTTTTAAGGGTATAATTCTCAATTTCTGAAGAAGAAAAAAAGGCACAAAATCTTTCAAAATGCAGCTATATTTAATCTTTTCCACAGTGAATGCTGAAAAATAAAATATGTAATTCCCCCACAGGAATTTTTATGAAAATATCCATCTAAAAACACCATATTAAGCAGGTCACTAATAAATATTTAAAAAATTTATTCATCAATATTTTTATATTATTCTCCCCGAAAGATATATAAAGGGCTAATCAATAAACATGAACAGAATGAAGCATTAAATGGAATAGATTCCCCTGGTTGTAAACAAAAATAGTGAATCATGCCACGACTCTGTGGCCTCTAACACTAAGGCTAACAGGAGAACTGGGTATCAACTTGGCTTTCCAAAAGCTACGGGGTCATAAGCCCCCCCCCCCCCCCCTCTCCCGCCCCACCAATGCTTTATTAGAGACTATATTCATATCATGGATACTAAACACCACTCAGGTGCACAGAGTACCAATAGAATGTAACTGGTGTTTTTTTTTGGGTCATGGCACAGAAAGTGTTCAGCACACAAACTGATAAATTCTGATGGAGACTGCAAAATGTGGAGAAGCATGATTGTTCATGCCTTGTGACTTATATAATATGTCAGTGTAACCTTTAATTAAAATCTTAGGTATAAATAAACACTAGTCTAAAACTAGAGTCAAAGACTAAGTATGAATAAACACTAGTCTAAAACTAGAGTCAAAGACTAAGTATGAATAAACACTAGTCTAAAACTAGAGTCAAAGACTAAGTATGAATAAACACTTGTCTAAAACTAGAGGCAAAGACTAAGTATGAATAAACACTTGTCTAAAACTAGAGTCAAAGACTAAGTATGAATAAACACTTGTCTAAAACTAGAGTCAAAGACTAAGTATGAATAAACACTTGTCTAAAACTAGAGGCAAAGACTAAGTATGAATAAACACTTGTCTAAAACTAGAGTCAAAGACTAAGTATGAATAAACACTTGTCTAAAACTAGAGTCAAAGACTGAGTATGAATAAACACTTGTCTAAAACTAGAATCAAAGACTAAGTATGAATAAACACTTGTCTAAAACTAGAGTCAAAGACTGAGTATGAATAAACACTTGTCTAAAACTAGAGTCAAAGACTGAGTATGAATAAACACTTGTCTAAAACTAGAGTCAAAGACTAAGTATGAATAAACACTTGTCTAAAACTAGAGTCAAAGACTAAGTATGAATAAACACTTGTCTAAAACTAGAGTCAAAGACTAAGTATGAATAAACACTTGTCTAAAACTAGAGTCAAAGACTAAGTATGAATAAACACTTGTCTAAAACTAGAGTCAAAGACTAAGTATGAATAAACACTTGTCTAAAACTAGAGGCAAAGACTGTTGAGAAAATAACATACAAACCTCTTCTAATTTGGTAGGAGGTGACGGCGGGTCCTCTTTGTCGGGGGACTCCGACTCGGATGAGCTTCTACGCAGATTCATCTATGAATGAGCAGGAAATGTATCTGTTTATGACAATGCTATTATCGCTAACAGCTGTACCAAATCTGACTAGCCATTTAAACTAAAGAATAAGGACAGACATACAGAATCTTTTTCCTGGTCAACAGTTATACACATGAAAAAAAAGTCACATTTATTCATCACCATCACTTCTCGTGTGGGTTCCGAGGTCACATTTTGGGGAAAACAAGAACAGACCCACTGCCTTCCCAATAAGCATATCGCAAAAGGCGACTAATTAAAAAGTCGGAGTGCATCTTCCTACGAGACAAAGAACCAACAATCTGCATACAAATAAGCTAGATCTCTAAAACAGATGCTCATGCAAAACTCAGGACCTGGAACAAAGCCGACGTCCAGAAATGGACAAACAAACAGGTCTTTCTGCCGGGATTTACAGCTGGTGAACGCAAACAAACAACATCACCATCATGTGCCATACCAATAAGCATAGGCTGTCATGTTTCGCCATCTCCCATGACCGTCAGAGCCACAGATCAGGTCAGTGATCTTGTCTCTGCCCCAGCCATATGGTTAATCTATCCAGGTATTTATCTCTTTACCTTTCTCCTGCTCTGTTTCCATCAGTCTTACCAGTTGTAACCACATTCCTGAATCACCTCATCCTGATAACATGTCTGAAAAACACTAACTTTTTATGTCTAATTTTTCGAATCAGTTTATGACTCTCATATGTCTTGAGGACTGCCTTGTTTGTTTTTCTAGCACTCCATGATATTCACTGCAGTGTTTGTTTTTCTATCTCTCCATGATATTCTTTGCATTGTTTGTTTTCCTATCTCTCATTGATATTTATTTGCATTGTTTGTTTTTCTATCCCTCCATGATATTCACTGCACTGTTTGTTTTTCTATCTCTCCATGATATTGTTTGCATTGTTTGTTTTCCTATCTCTCATTGATATTATTTTGCATTGTTTGTTTTCTTATCCCTTCATGATATTCTTTGCATTGTTTGTTTTCCTATCCCTCCATGATATTCTTTGCATTGTTTGTTTTTTTATCTCTCCGTGATATTCTTTGCATTGTTTGTTTTCCTATCCCTCCATGATATTCTTTGCATTGTTTGTTTTCTTATCCCTTCATGATATTCTTTGCAATGTTTGTTTTCTTATCCCTTCATGATATTCTTTGCATTGTTTTTTTTTATCCCTTCATGTTATTCTTTGCATTGTTTGTTTCCAATCCCTCCATGATATTCTTTGCATTGTTTGTGTTTCTATCCCTCCATGATATACTTTGCATTGTTTGTTTTCTTATCTCTCCGTGATATTCTTTGCATTGTTTGTTTTCCTATCCCTCCATGATATTCTTTGCATTGTTTGTTTTCCTATCCCTCCATGATATTCTTTGCATTGTTTGTTTTCCTATCCCTCCATGATATTCTTTGCATTGTTTGTTTTCCTATCACATCAGGATATTCTCCACACTTTTTGTTTTTCTATCACTTTATGGTATTCTTTGCATTACTCTCAGAAACCACATATATGTTGCGAGTAAATCTATTAACGGGTCCAAAATATGTACCAAAATGTTTGACAAATGTCACTAGGGTCTCATTTTTTCTCAAAGGGAAAGTCTCAACAGAACCTTCCTGTGGAAGAGGCAGGGAAACCAACCAACATGTGGAGAATGCAACTCTGGAAACAGAAAATCCAGAGATTTGGGATTTCTTTGGAATGTCCACTGCTGTTTGAGTCTGATATTCTTTAACCCTGGAAAGATAAGGGGCTGCTAAAGGTTGGGGATGCTGTCAAAGCCAAGTGGATATGGAAGTCCAGGGAAAACTACTACATGATGCATTTCAAGAACCTCAGCACTGGAGGTCAAAACATCTAAAAGAAACCAAAGAGTCTTTCAGGAAAGCCATGATGGAAGCAATGCTCAGGAGAAGACATGCTATATGATGATGATGATGAATCATTTTGTGATGAATAAGATAAAACTTTTAACATAAAGTAAAACAGACTATAAATCTCAGGTTGTTACATTTACTTACAGCTAAAAGGCTTTTGCGTGTTTCATCCATTGCTTTAGTCATCTCCATTTTGTTTCTCTGCTGTATAGAGCATTCAATAACATGGAATGAGAAGCGCATTCAAAAACAGAAAAATCTAGAAATTCCATTTTTTTTTTAAAACCTGCACAATACTGAAAGCTAAGTAATCAAAACAGCAAATCAACATTTTTATCAATTATCAGAAGCTTGGCTCTCTAGCGAAGTTGGTTAAACCTGACTTTCGCGGCGGCCGGGTGACGAACTCCTTGTGGTCCAAGTTCACTCCCGGGGGTAGGCAGAAAAGCCACATTTCTCCCAGATTAACGGTACCTATAATGGAATCAATGCCGAAGGGTTGCGATATCCATAGTACCGAGCCAAAGGGTTTACAACTCATGGTTTCTGGATACGTAAAAAAAAAATTTTTTAAAAATCAATTATCAGTCTATCTGTATGTTTTTGTAGATATAAAACCAAATTTGAAAAAATTCAGCCTCTGGAAGACTCTCAACAAACTTCAAAGCAGAGCATCAAGCAATTATTGATTCAGCCAAAGTGCTTGAGAAAAGAAATAATAAAAACAGCAAAACTGTTTTCCTTTGTGACTGCATGTCAGTCCTCCAGACGACTCCAGAGATCCACGAGACAACATGGAGAGAGAACTGACCCGCCAGCTAAACAGACTCACAGAAAACAATCAAACTGTTCTCCAGTGGATCCTAGCTTCCTGCAGCGTACCAGGAAATGAGTTAGCAGACAGATTTGCAAAAAAACTGAACAAAGGAGAAACAACACATCCATTCACTGTCATTTCCAGAAATCCAAACACTTATCAAGGAAAAAAACAAGGAATTGTGGATAGAACAAAGAGTAAAGATCCACAAGACCCTATCAGCAGACTCAACAGAAAGCAACATACAAAAATGTTCCATCTACGAACAGGACACTGCAGGCGCGACTACCACATGCATAAAAAAAAAAAAAAAGACTGTAGTCCCCACCCAAACACCTGAGCCCATTCTACAGATCTTCCCACAACTTCAAAGACACCTGGCCATAAGAGCAAAGTGTGCAGAGCAAGCTATGGGGAACCATGAAGGACCTGCCGCTGACATGCAAGTTCATAGAGGCAACCCACCTGATGGTCTGATCTGAGCATAAGAAACTGAACGCAAAGAAGAAGTAGACCAACTGGCACTTGGTGGGCGATGTGGTCAATATCGAGCCAGCTGCCTTTACTTCCATGGACTTTTACCTGGTACCCATTTAAAGCTGGGAGCCAGGGTAATAAAAAAAAAAGGCCCATCTCCATTTGGATTTGAACCCATGACCTTCAGATCTGCAGGTAAGTGTCTAGCTGCTACACCAACTAATCTGCAAGCTTCTGCAGAATAGAATATATGCAATAAAAAAATAAAAATATACTTACACTGTGCCAATTATCTTGTCTGTAGGTGATCTGAGACGTAGATATATTTCTGAAATAATCAGATTAATTTTTTTCTTTAAAGCGTTTTTATAAACTAGTAATATTTAATAAACCAACACTTTTGATCTCATCATCACTCTTTGAAAGTTGGTGAGCAAGTAAATGGCCACTTCCATTCATACTCCTGTGATCAACACATGTGAAAGTCTATCACTATCACAAATTAAGAAGAGTTTGGAGGCAACTGAGATGTGGTTCTTGAGAACAATGTTGCGAATACCTTGGACTGCCAGAATGTCTAACAATGACTGCCTGGAAATGGCTAATGAAAGTAGAACATTATATACAACAATGAGAAGGAGACAAACAAAGTTCTTTGGTCATCTGATGAGAAAATGAGCAGAAAGATTACTGGTAGAAGAGGCAGAGGCAGACCAAGAGAAACAATGGTGGATGGCTTAAAACAGTGGCAATGAGGAAAATCGTCAGTGGAATTGATCCAGAAGACCAAAGACCGAGATCTGTGGAGATGCATGAACGCTTATGCCAGCTGGCAAGGCACTTGATGATGATCACATTAACTCCTACCTTTGTTTTTGGTATAGCATGTTTCTCTGAACCACTCATCATTTCGTTAAATTTCTACTGTAGTGAAACATCTAACTCTTTTTGATGCCAGGAAATTGTTACTTTAATTAAACTGTTCTACCCAAAGCAGTTATTTCAACTCATTCTATTTTACTGGTACCCTTCTGTCTTTCCAGACAACAGACAACCAAACAACAGATAAAATAATGCTGTAGGGAGGCATAGGAATTCACAGCCCATGGTGATGGAGAGTGAGACTATCAAGGCCATAACATAAAGCCTGGGCATTATTGCTGAGAATATTTGCTACCCGTGGAGTAAGACTTCTCTCTCAGCCTGCCTTGTTTACTTCAAAGAAACGGTAACACCAATATGTCTGGCACACAGAAGTACTCTGTCTATCATCATCAATCAGCAGGTCCTTCAGAGAATGTAACTCTCTTCACGTCAGGCCTGAAAGTCCCTCTTCCTCTAGCCAATTCTTCAGCCCTATGTGCTTTCATAGACTGCATCTTCAATGTCTTGCATTCACCTTTGCAGAGATCTGTCTATGCCTTGTTTTCCGGTAACCACACCCACCATCACCGTTATCTACAGGCCATCATGACGCTTAACATGGCCAAAATACCTCAGATTTTGTGACAGGATGCTGTTTATGAGCCAATTCTCCCCAATTTTCAGATTATGTAGGACGTCAGTGTTTTCCTTCTTCTTTGTCCACAGTAGTCTAAGAATTTATCTGTAGCATTTCAGTTCAAATTTTTAAATATTCTATACCAAAGCAAAAAAAAATGTTGGGTCTAAAGAAGTTAAAAAAAAGGGACAAACAGAGATGCATTGGCAATAAGGGCAGAAGGGGTAAACAACTCATCATAACTGTATAACGCTGGAACAGCATATTACTGTTAGTGTCTAAGAAACATTTGGCACAATTTTCACAGAATAATGTGTTTAGTGTGCTAGTATGTAACATTTTAATAACTCATGCTTCAAAAATCAGTTTCACTCTATAAATTCTGAAACTAATTTAACATTTTATGAAAAAGTTATTTGTACTAACATGCTTGAGGCTAACTACAGTTAACAGAATTTATAGCCTAATTAAGATATTTATAGATAGTAATTATTAGTTAACTTACTAAAGTTAACGGTTATTATTTATATTGACTTATCAGACTATTCAAACTTAACCGAGGTAACAGTTAAATATTTATACTCATTAGGCAGTTTAACAAAATCTGACCGAATCTACAGCTAAATTTATGTTACTATTCTTTGATTAATCAGTTACTTTTCAACATGTATAAGTTAACTGAAGTTACCTTTGGTTTACATGTTAATTTTGCATACTGCCTAACCTTTATTCTGACTTACTGAAGTTGGCCAAATTTATAACTAAAGTTATATGTTTAGTATTTCAAAAGTGAAGTTAAGTTAAACTGACATGATATTAATGATATTAATGACACCGATGAATTCAATATAGCATACTTAACAAAGCAGCAAGTTATAGCCAGTGTTGAGCATCTGTTTAATAGAGACAGAGAATAATGATAGATTCCTGATTATAACTTGTCACACTAAACAATGTTTCCCATACATTGAAGAGCAATTTGTTATAATCTGAACAAATACTGTCTCCCATAACCTTAACATGATAACAATAGTGTCAATTATTTGTCATATCTTCAGATTCAACTGAAAAAACTTTCCTGATTCTGTGGCCCCATTTAGGGGGGTTGGATGGCTGGGGCAGACTCACACAGATAACAAGCATGTCATAAAAGGCAACTAATTAGGAATTTTTTTCTTTTAAAGTCAGAGCACACCTCCTTGAGCGGTGAGGCACCAACAGTCAGCATCCCAAGTAAGCCAGTTATGTAAAAAAAAAAAAAAAAATGTGCGAGCAAAATTCAAGTTTTGGAGTAGGACTGAAGTTCAGAAGTGAATGAACATCCAGAACTTTCTGCCAGAGTTTACAGTTGGTAAACACTAAGAAGAAAAAGAAGAAGCAGAACAAACTTTACAGCAGTGTTGTCTACAAAAATGTAATCTAAACAAATTAGGAAAGGCTTGGAGGCAGAGGAGATGTGGTTTTCAAGACACATGCCGCAAAACCTTGGGTAGAAAAAGTAACTAATGATTGCCTGCAAAAATTAATGAAAACACAAGTTAAATGCCATTATAGGAAAGAGAGAGAGTGTTTTTTCTGTCATGTAATGTGAAGAGAGGCCACAGAAGAGATCATGGTGATTTGAGAGACCATTGAGCACAGAAGAGATCATGGTGATTTGAAAGACCATTGAGCACAGAGGAGATCATAGCGATTTGAAAGACCATTGAGCACAGAAGAGATCATGGTGATTTGAAACATTAGTGGTAGCAGAGGAAAAGAAAAAGAATTGATTTTGGAGTCTAAGTCTGTAGCATTGAGAAATATCAAAAACAGTATTGGTTCAAGACACAAGAGACTAAGATTTGAGGACAGCTGTGGCTACCTATGCCAGCTGGCATGGCACATGATGTGTATATAATTCTCCTAGCATAAAGCTGACCTTCAACAACAGCAGCTGAAGTCAAACTGTATGGATGAAGACCTCAATGAGCTCAAAATAACATCTAGGTTCATATCTAAAACTTACCAGTGTGGGTTCCAGTGCCCCATTCATTGTGGGGGAGGGGGGGGGGGGAACCCAAGAATAGACACACACCCCCTCCCCCCCTCTTCCCAAACAAGCATTTCATAATAGTCAACTAAATAGGAGCTTTTTTCATAGGCAGTGCATCTGTTTGAGAGGCAAGGAACCAACAATCTGCATACAAATAAATGAGGTCCATAAAATGTATGTGCACACAACATTCAGGTTCTGGAACAAGACTAATAAAGTAAAGAGGTGGACAACAACTAGAACTTTCTGCCTGAGTTTACAGCCAGTAAACACAAAGAAGAAGCAGAATATCCGATACTGTAAACAAAGTCTGAGAAAGAATAAAAATAATAACAAGAATAAGAAACAAATGAAAATAAACAATTTACTATGATTACTTACTTGAAGGTGGAAACCTGCGCCCGAGACATGAACCTGGCAGACAGACTCAGCCTGGGACTGAAAGGTGTTGATTCAAACGGAGACCCTGCAGCACCTGCAATAACCTGCTTCTCAAGTGTGTCCAAGGATCTGGTGAATTTCTCTATTGGGATTGGGGTGAATGAATCCTCTTCAAAGTTTTCTCTCACAAAGTCCTCCTGTTTGTATACAAGAGAGGATAGATAAGCAATAACATAAGTGTAGCAATGTAAAAAAAAAATGTTTAAACCAAAACAAAATGCAGGCATGTATATCTTTGCAAACAGTGATAAATGTAAAATACCATCTTTATACTTGTGTGGGCGGGTGTGTGTATGGGGCACTGAAACCTAAGGACACTGACTGTAATAAACAATTATAATAGCTGTTGTAGAGGGATAAAAACAAGAACCATCATGTTTAAAGTAGGCTTCTGCAATGTGGAAAACACCATTAAAAGTTGCAAATGTTGATAAAGAAAAAGAGTGCAATAAAGAATGTATTAATATGAAATGACAGTTTAACTTGAAACAGAATATCGCATATGATGTAGTAATGGACAGATGGGAAAGAGAAGGTTGGGGGGGGGGGATATGAGAGAGAAAGGAGAGATAAAGAGAGTGGGAATGGGAGAGAAAGAAAGAAGAGGAAGGAAGAAAGAAAAAGAAGAGAGGGGTTAGGACAGAGGCAATGTGGGAAAGAGAGAAAGAAAGAAGAAAAGAAAGAAGAAAAGAAGAAGGGAGAGATAAAGAAGAGAGGTGGGAGAAAAAAGAAGAGAAAGGGAAAGAAAGGATAAAGGGGGAAGAAAGAAGGGGGACAGAGAGATGTGCACATGTGTGTACCTGTAAAAAAAAGCTCAACAAGAACAACAACAACACAGGTTTACATCTTACAAACATTATATAAGTACCTGTAAAACCACAAAAAATCCCCTAAATGTTAAAGAACAACACAGGCTTAAATCTTACAAATCTGACTAATGTCAGTGATCCTCACCTTGTCGGGCGTCCTGACCAGAAACTCCTTGTCTGTATCTGAAGGTGTGGTGGGTGTGGAGGTGCCCTGAGTGTCATCGTTGTTGTCATCTTCATCTTCTAAAGAAACAGGATCTGTGCTGACAGAATCTGCAAATTAGTAGGAAACAATTAAACATTCAGGATTTACAATGAACCATGACAAGGGATTCTATTTTTTTCTCCTGTAACATGACATTTACAAGCACTTTTCAATCTTCACATCTGGCAACAGATTAGTTAGTAGTAATTAGCACCCTTTAGATATTTTCTTCAGGTGATGCCGGTGTGTTGGGAAATGAGCAGGCAGATAGACAGACTGGCTGGCTCTGCATCACTTGGTGGTGAATTGATGTATGACAAGTTAGATATTGTGAGGGCCCTTTGGGAGCGAGTGAACAGTGCGGAGGTGCAAATGGATCATTACCGTCTAAGGAGAATGGCGCTGCGAGGAGTTACCAGGGAATCTGGCCGATGCTTGACACTCAGGGAAAGGATGAGACTGATATACAATCAGACGGTTACTGGTACCATCGGAATCTGGAACTCTTCGCCTGCTGCTGAAGATAGAGGGCCCAAGCACTTATTGGAGAGTCCCGAGTGCTGTGATGTCAATTCTTAATTCATTCCTTCGAAATCGGAGTGCACCTGCCTGAGAGGCAAGGAACCAACAGTCTGTACATAAATGAGTCAGATCTGTCAAACGAATGCACACGCAACACTCAAGTTCTGAAATAGGACTGCAGTCCAGAAGTGGACGAACAACAAGAACTGTTCGTCGGAGTTTACAGCCAGTGAATGCAAAGAAGAAGAGGAATTCTTAATTCAACATTCATCTGGCAACATTGCCTTGTTCCGTCTCTCACTCAGTCACTTTCAAGCATCAGTTGTGTATGGATTTGTTATAATTTGTGTGTGTGGATTTGTTATAATTTTATCTAAAATTTTTGCCCTTAAAATGACTGGTAAAAGAAAAATACTTTCACCTGCAGATGGGCCAGGTAATAAGTAAAAGAAGGCTATTGATTGATTTAAACTATAAAATAAAGAACATCTGACAGTATGAATGTGGAAAGAAGGTTAATACAATAGCATGTGTCTTGAAGTTATAGCGTTCAACAGTATCGATGATACTTAAGGATAAAGAAAGAACCTGTGAAGCTGTGAAAGGTTCTGCGTCAATACAGTCTACAATTTAAACCAAAAAGTGACAGGGACCTATCCAAGAAATGGAGAAATTGTTATTACGTAATTTCAGGTTTTTCTTTGTTTACAGTATGTACAACAAAATACACATTACATTTTGTAACATTACGTTAAATAATTATATGTGCCTAAATTGAATTTGTGTGTTTTATATAACATTTTTATAACGGGTATGAAAAAAATAGTGTTTAAAAATATAAATTTGACTTACGACTAGTTTGTCTTATGACTCATTAGCCAGAAAGGAACTCATTCGTAAATCAAGGAGACCCATATAATGTCATTTACTTATATATGGATGTTGACCTTTATAAGGACCAGATTACCAGATATATGGATGTTGACCTATAAAAGGGCATATACTTATGTATATATGGATGTTGACCTATATCAGGGCATATACTTTTGTATATATGGATGTTGACCTGTATCAGGGCATTTACTTATGTATATATGGATGTTGACCTATATAAGGGCATTTACTTATGTATATATGGATGTTGACCTATATAAGGACCAGATTACCAGATATATGGATGTTGACCTATATAAGGGCATTTACTTATGTATATATGGATTTTGACCTATATAAGGGCCTTTACTTATGTATATATGGATGTTGACCTATATAAGGGCATTTACTTATGTATATATGGATGTTGACCTATATAAGGACCAGATTACCAGATATATGGATGTTGACCTATATAAGGGCATTTACTTATGTATATATGGATGTTGACCTATAAAAGGGCATATACTTATGTATATATGGATGTTGACCTATATCAGGGCATATACTTTTGTATATATGGATGTTGACCTGTATCAGGGCATTTACTTATGTATATATGGATGTTGACCTATATAAGGGCATTTACTTATGTATATATGGATGTTGACCTATATAAGGACCAGATTACCAGATATATGAATGTTGACCTATATAAGGGCATTTACTTATGTATATATGGATGTTGACCTATATAAGGGCCTTTACTTATGTATATATGGATGTTGACCTATATAAGGGCCTTTACTTATGTATATATGGATGTTGACCTATATAAGGGCCTTTACTTATGTATATATGGATGTTGACCTATATAAGGGCCTTTACTTATGTATATATGGATGTTGACCTATATAAGGGCCTTTACTTATGTATATATGGATGTTGACCTATATAAGGGCATTTACCTATATACGTATGATTACCTCTATAACAGCATTTACCTATATACGTATGATTACCTATATAACAGCATTTACCTATATACGTATGGTTACCTATATAACAGCATTTACCTATATACGTATGATTACCTTTATAACAGCATTTACCTATATACGCATGATTACCTATATAACAGCATTTACCTATATACGTATGATTACCTATATAACAGCATTTACCTATATACGTATGATTACCTTTATAACAGCATTTACCTATATACGTATGATTACCTATATAACAGCATTTACCTATATAAGGACATCTATTAATACAAGGGCAGCTTTGATACTTACTATCATCTTGATTGGAAACATTGCCCTGATTAGGCTTGCTGTCATCCTGTTTCGCATCATCGGCTGCAAACACCTTGTATGAGCTGTAACACAAGAATAATATTGTATACAAACACATATAGACACACACACACATACACACGTGTGTGCACACACAAATAGAAATAGTCCTCTCATTTCTGTTCTATTTCTCGATAATTTTATGTTGAGAATGAGAGAGAGAGAGAGAGAGAGAGAGAGAGAGAGAGAGAGAGAGAGAGAGAGAGAGAGAGAGAGAGAGAGAGAGAGAGAGAGAGAGAGAGAGAGAGAGAGAGAGAGAGAGAGAGAGAGAGAGAGAGAGAGAGAGAAAGAGAGACAGAAGAAGAAACAGGAATAGTCTGCAAAAAATAAACTTTCTGCTAATGTCTGGCCTAAATAATTACTAATAAACTACAAACATTCATTAACCGGAGACAAGCAAAAAAAGAAAACAAGCGTACCTCGCAAACAGATCTGATTCTGAGTCGACAGGCGGATAAATGATCTCAGTCGTATCCGAGCCGGTGTCCACATCGTCTGCGTCATCGAGCTCAAGACTTCTGCTCTTTAAAAAGTCAAACCTATTAGACCAATGCTGTCCACAGCAGGAGAGATGTTGAGCGAAGTATCCGATTTGTACTGTGCAAAACCATCCAACTTTTTTACAGCAGGAAATGACTGGAAATGCTGAAGACATCAAGCAGAGTTTAATCACAAAAATCACTTATTACATCATGTACTGAGTCAAGATGAGTTTATTTAAGAACTGACATCATAGCACTGTGGACTTTCTCATAAGTGCCCATCTTCAGCAGCCAACCAAGAGTTCAGTGCTGATAGTACCAATATCAAGTATCATGGATAGTTTTTAACATTTTGTTTGTTTATTTGTTTGTTTGTTTTGTTTTAATGTTAACCAATCATACACCACATGATAAAATAAGAAAAACAAAATTAATATTGGAAATTTACTGGATCCCAGGTTTATGAGCTGAATATAATTACTGTTTGCTGTCTACTTCTAATTCATATGAACATGTTAGATAAAAATCTGCTAGTTGCTGCACTTTTCACCAAGGTTACAGTGTTGCAACAATTTTGCCTAGTAGGAACTTTTTTTTTCTCAACTTGAAAGTATATGTACAAAGATTCTTTTCTCTTCTTTCCCTCAGGTCTTAAATGTATAACTCTTTCATGATTGTTTAGCCCCTATGATTTTAGTGTATGTCTTTCTTTTTTCTCTTCTTCTCCTTTTCATTTTTTTCCTTTCCTCTTCCTCTTTTACCGCTGTGGGTGTAAATGTTAAATCGAGAGAATGAAGGTTCTTGTCACTTCCTCTTTTACCCGCTGTGGGTGCCTTCTGGCACGCCTCGAACATAGGCACATTATGCTGTTGTAAGCTTCTCTGATGTTATCCTTCCATCTTGTTCTTTGTCTATACCACCTTCTTCTCTTTCCATGTATGCTTTGTATGGTATGGTGTCACAAGGCATTCTAAGTGGGCAAACCATTTCACTTGCTAGTGTATGTTTAAACCTTTAAAAAAAAGTTACCTCATATGTTCATTCTCTCTTTTGTGTATGTGTGCGAATGTATGTACAGACATACAAACACACAATAAAGGACCGATTAGAACATCAAGGGGTTGTGCAATGTGTAACTGTTAGATTCTCACCTGTGGATCCAAAGGTCATGGGGTCAGATCCTCGATGCCTGATTTTTTAAATTAAAAAAAAAAAATGATCTTGGCACCCAGCCTTAAATAGGTACCAGGTAGAGTCCTGGGAAGTAAAGGTGGCCGTCATGATGTTAACCGTATCTCCTGCCAAGAGCAGATTGGTGTAAAAAAAAGGTCTAGCACTATATGCCCAAAGGTGTGGGAAAACGTCCTTTAATGAAGCCAGCACCATATATCCAATAGACCTCAAAGTTATTATTTTTTTTACACACATCATGGTGCAGGGAGAGATGGAAGCAGGTGATGCTATACCATCAACTGTATAATTAACACTATCACTCCAGGTTAATATAGATACTTCTTATTCTGCATTTGCCTTAAAAGGGGCAATGGCATATAGTTTTGTAGCTCTCAGCTAGGCCGAGATATCTGCGCCCTTTGGCAGCACACATCTGATTTTAGCAAACTCCTTAATTAGGCATCTTACACAACATTCATGTTGGGGGTGGGGGGCGCAATGATCCATTCATCCTCCCTCCAACTGGCTCCAGAAGCCACATAGAAAGTAAAGATAACAATGAAACATAATGACCACTTACTATCACATGGGGAGCCGCCATGGTGTAATGTCTAAATGCTACCTATGGATCGGAAAGATGTGGGTTCGGGTCTTGGCAGAGATAAGACTGTTTAAAATAAAATTAACAGGTGTGATGCTGACCACATCACCCACCAACTGTCGATTGGTCCATAAAATATATTCCTACATGCTTAATATGCCTAAAGATGTGGAAAAGGGTCCTTTACTTTACTATCCCGTGTTTAATAAGCAAAATATTTAAATAGCAACACATAGTAAAGACAATTACAACAACAACATGAAGAAAACATGGTTTGTTTAGCAGTACCTTGATTTCACTTGGTTTGTCCAGAACGACTGTCTCACGGCGTAATTCAGACAGCTTGCTGGAACTAGTATCCACTGAATGGCGTCGATCTAACAGACAAACAGAATAGTTGTCTCTGAAATTGGCTCTACCAAACATCAAGTAACTGGCCATGCACATCTACTACTTTATTTCGGTGGACTTGTTTCACACAAACTTACTCTCACTGGGTGAAAGTCTTTGATAGATATCCCCACTACTGTACTAGTCATGCAACGATTTTATTACAATCACCTTGATACCACTAAACTGCTTGACTATAATCCTTAAAAATAGTGTTCATCAACTTTGTTACTTCTGTGGCCCATCAAAACAACAGAAACTGTTTTACTGTCCATCTGACAGCTAACCAAACATGAAACAAAAACAAATGTAGTTAGCAGTTTATTAGTTTACTCTATCAAACCAGTAAATGACTGCTTGGCTGATAAACAGACGCCAATGTATGTAAACCTGACTATACAGGTGGCGTCATCAATAAACTCATTAAATGGTTACTTTATCAACACGGTCACTTATTCAACAATTATTTAAATCAAAAAGAAATTTAAAAAAAAAAAAAAAAAGCAAAGTGTGAAAATGCCAGTTCCAATCCTCCTAGTGATAGTCAGCTGGCCTAAAATGGATTCCAGAAAGTGTTCTGAGAAGTAAAGGGGGAGAGAGTGATACTCAAAGTATTGTCCAAAGAATGCTGAGTGGTCAATATAATTATGGCACTAGTAATATAGTCCCAGTTCATGTCAAAGAATGGAATAGTGGTATTTCTTATTTACTCACCATCCATTTGTGTCCCGAGGAATTTCTCTCTCTCTCTCTCATGTGTGTGTGTGTGTGTGTAAGGGGGGGGGGGGGGGGGGGTGTTAACTGATCCACTGCCGTCACCCCTAACAAGCTTTAACCAAATGACGGGGTGTTTGCTTCAAAGTCAGGTGTGTATGTACCTATAAGGTCAGGAACCAACAGTCTGCATGCATATATATATATATATATATATATATATATATATATATATATATATATATATATATATATATATATATATATATATATAAGCCAGATGTGGGTAACAGATATGCACACTACAAAACTCAAGTTCTAGATGTAGAGTAAAGTCAATGAGTGGATGAACAACCAGAAATTTCCACCGGAGCTTACAGCCAATGAGCTCTACAAAGAAAAAGACATTAAAAGTGTCACTGACAATAAATTTAGTGATGCAACCATTGTTACACATAACTATATACAAAGCAGAATAGGTTCTATTATAGAAACAAAAACACAGAGATTCTGAAGGGACCTTGGAAGAGTGAATGAAAAGCGAGTATCTGAAAAGTTGTTTAAAAAGGGGTTATCTTGGCCACATTAAAAGACCACTCTCATTAAAATTACAATGGGGTGAAAAGTTGAGAGCAAGCAAGTAGTATCAGAGTGTACAACTTAGAGATCCATTGCAGCCAACCTTGGACTGACAGAGATTATTAAAATTGTGCACACTGACAAATGTTACAAACCATGATAGTAGTCACAGATATAAACTAAGAAATCCTGAAACAACAGCCGGCTCCTACCACTGGATCGTGAGTTCCGGTAATCAGTTATAACATCATAACTGCAGTCTCAACAAAACCCATAGCATACACACGTATTTAATGTACGAGGCAGCTGTCAGAATCGTAATAATCTCCTCGGCGGTTCTAAGAGGACGAATGCCCCAAATTTATTAGTCGATTAATTTAAGTGTCCTGGGGAAGGGAGTCTTTCCTAACATTCTTCAGAGTCCTTCTGTATAGGAGCAGGAGCAGCAGTAGCAGTAAGTAGTAGTAGTAGTAGTAGTAGTAGTAGTAGTAGTAGTAGTAGTAGTAGTAGTAGTAGTAGTAGTAGTAGTAGTAAAAGCAGCTGCGGTGGTGGTGGTAGTTGCAGCCCCAGCAGCAGCAGCAGTAGTAGTATACATCTCCCCACTGATGTAATCTTGCCAAGGCGTCACTCAGGTAACCAAAACGTAACGAAGATGACGATTATGATCCCAATAAACAGCATGTTTAAAAAAATATGACACTAAATTGGATACTTTATTTACTCCTAATATTTTATGTCACTGTAAAGCAATTTATAAAACGCCTCGATACCTTTCAATCATAATACACTACGGCATCTGACAGATGTCTATAAGGGTGATTTTCACCACCCGGACAGTTTCGATTATCACACTGGCTGTGACTAATATCCGTCCGCGGCTGCGATATCTGTTTACTTTTCACCGAGTACCTGCAGCGTGATTCTCAACCGTCACTCTGATCACGAAAATAAGCAAGAGATAAGAGAATCCCTTTACAGTGAAAACCGACCCTAGGAATTAAAAGAAAATGGGCTGTGATCCTTGTGGAATTTGTCACTTTTAAACGGCCACAAGTTAACCTGCGTGCATGGAAACCGGTGGAGTATGTTGATAGACACGCTAAAATGTACTGTTGGGTTTTGTTTTCCCCATGTCTATTGCACAGTGATTCTCAAAATTCTTTTCTTCTATTCGTACTTTACAACTGTTGCACTTGCTATACCGAATGCTTTTTATATAAATTTGTTTCTGTTTCGCAAGGTGCCGAAGGAGGACACAGGTACTATAACTTAATAATGCCGTAAATTAACTAATTCATTCATTAGTTAAAGCAGTGTTTCCCAAACTTGTCTTAGTCGCGGGCCCTTTTTTTTTCAATTACAATTTCTCCATGGCGGCCTAACTTAAGTAAAAGTATGACTATTCGAGTGTAAGAGATACAAAATAAATAAAACTCGTGTATCTTCGAAAATGTACGCGTCTGTGGCTTAGGCGTTGCGAACGTGCTTTGTAATGCCGGGGGCCGGTTTTGATCCCAGCTGCGGGCCCCGCTCCTTGCTCCTTGAGTTGGTATCGACAGTGGTATCCAGAAGACGACCGTCCAGAAGCAATGGCAAACTACTGAATGTAAACTTGCCTACCAAAAAACCACAAAAACCAAAAAATGCTGGGGTTGGTTCTGCAACGTCCTGTAAAGGATACGCAACTAACTTTTTATCTTCGAATATTTGGCGGCGCCCCTGTGAAGAGGTCGCGGCTCTATGGGGCGCCGCGGCGCACAGTTTGGCAATCACTGGGTTAAAGGAATGCCATGGTGAAAGGATCACTTATAACATCTGGTGTAAATTAATCACTACATTATTAATATGCTGACCGGTAGACAGAAAAATTTTTCTTGAAACCGCAATTTTTTGTCAACCGCAGACTAAAGCGGCACACAGAGACGAACATCAAAGACAATCTATTTGGGAGTCACAACCAGCTCTCAACGACAGCAGCACCATATATCGGTTTGAGAGGGCGGGGGTAGGGGTGGTTCTTCTCGACTGGACACTGTTAGAAAAAGATCGAAAATGGAGGAGAAAAAGAACGTAATTCACGAGGGTTAGATATGATTCTCACCCCCGTGTGGGTTCCGGGGCCCTATTGTGGGGGAAAACAAGAATAGACCCACTGCCTCCCCAAAAGCATGTCGTAAGAGTCGACTAATTGGGGAGCTTCCTTTGAAGTCGGAGTGCATCTGCCGGAGAGGCAAGGAACCAACAGTCTGTATTCAAGAGAATGAGATCTGTAAAACTGATGCACACGCAACACTCAGGTTCTGGAGCAGGACTGCAGTTCAGTAGTGGACGAGCAACCAGAACCTTCCGCCAGAGTTTACAGCTGGTGAACGCGAAGAAGAAGAAGAAGATATGATTCTGACGACAGTTTTCTCTTCAGGTATTGTTTTACGTTTCTGACATGAGCAGATTTTTCAATTCTATCACGCCAAGAGAAACATCGGTGCAAGCCAAACTTTACGGGTCGCTGAATGGAAATATTTTGGTCATATCAAGCGCCACAACGGATTGGAAAAAACTATAGCAGAAGGCATGGTACCAGGAAGGAGGGTCAGGGGCTGACCGACACGAAGATGGGCACAGGATATAAGTGACTCCTTGAGTATGAAAGTATATGAGGCAGGAGAACTGGCGAGAGACCGTGTTTCTTTCAGGCAGACTGTGATGAGAGCGATGTTCTGCAAAGGACCTGCTACATGATGATGAGTGAAGTTCATAGATCATTTATTTCAAGCGAACGAAAGAAGAAGGGGAAGAATTACATCAAAATTAACCTCCTTAAATTTAACCTAACAGATTGTGAAACTATCATCGTGACTGGGAAACTATCATTACTACAGATATAACTATATATATTTATAGTAAACAAATGGTCTATGCTAAACAAACTTTAAGTATTGTTATATAACAGACTGCATCCAATAATAACTGAATACCGAAATTAGAAAAAAAGCACACACACACACATATATATAAGCAAAAATGGTCAAAATGGACGCTAGGCACTGCCACTGTTTTGAGCCGTGGCAAATCTTTTGCTTCTGCCAGACGATGGCCGTTGCATTTTTGTTCCATTTGTAGACTGACAGGATAGTTTCGTCGCCTAGCTTCTGATCTGAGTGCATGGCGTGACACTTGAGCTGCAGATTTCATTTGGAATATTTGTCGATTGTGAGACAACGTGGTGGCGTGAATTGGAGATTCAGAAAAAGCGCGATACCTGTTTTCGCAATATTGGTGGTGCCATTCTGTGATTAAAATTGATTGCGTGTGCAACTGCTGATCTGTTGGTGACTTCTGCTACCATCCCTGATGAACTGCATAATGTCGGACTGTTTGTGTTAGCACTTCGGATGGCTACTGTATGCTTTTAACGCGTGTGTATGCTAGTGCATATGCTGAAATAGGAGTCTGTCAATCTTTCCACAAGGGACTGTGATAAACATTCTGTGTGTTTTTCGTTGGCACAGGAGCGGAGCAACTATGGGGTGACCCGTTTGCTATGAAGCTGAAACTCAGATTACCAGATATATAAGTAAAACAAGCGGTTTCACTGTAATGTGTGTGTATGCGTGTAACAGTGAAACTCTATATTTGTTTTAGTTTCACATTCTTTTCAAATGTATTTAATTTCCGAATGTGGTGTATCCGACTG